GTAGAAGTGATTTTAACAATTTCCAGAACAAAATCTTCCACGTCCTCAACTGCTTTATTCGCAAGATACGACTTTCGTGAACTCATCTCGTCGAGAGCCCAAGACACCTGCACAATCATAGTTTCAACTCATAGTCATTCAAGAAAGTCCAACTCACATTTTCCCAATCCTCTTTTTTTATCCAATCTCGAGCTTTTCGGAGTGGATCGCCTGCGAATGTTTGGCGTCGAGCGAATTCAGATGACGCGGCCATCCTCTCAGCACGAGCAACCGCATCTTTCTGAACCTTAAAACAAAAATTTTTAGGATAAACAAGAGCAATAGCTGCACTTATGCCTGAAAACATAAGGAAGATAGGAAAGCTAGTAAGGGCTACAAAAAGAAGTACCAAGTATGACGTAGTTGAGCCTTCTGATACACTCTTTTGCATAGAACTGGACCGACGACGCATGCGTTTTTTCTTTGTTTCAGCTTGCTCTTCCATCTCAAAATAAAACTTTTTTTAAAGATTTCCAGATTGTTCAAACTTTTCTTGACGAACCACGATGTAATTCTGCAACTGGTAATGTTCAATAAATTCGTTCAAGACTGTAGCATCTCTTGAGGTCCATTCGAAATAGAGATTCATCCATTGGTCAGAAAACCTGATATAAAATTAGATGCAGAAATTATTATAAATGAAATTATTACAAACGATTCAAATTTTTGAACCGTGTAATTCCACGACCAAGAACTGATCATATATCATGTTCAAGTGATCTATTCTTAAAGAGCCCGTGATAGTTTAAGTGCAAGCATGTTCCTCTTACCGTGTCACTATACTGCAAACATGTTTTGAAAATTTTTTATTGCTGTATAGAAGTTCCAAATTTGAAAATTCGAATAATTTCGAGAGGAAAATCGTCGCCTGTGCAGCACTTAGCATCTCTGAGTCAGACGACAATCGAAGCACATGCAAGCATTCTTTGTGGTCACCTTCATAGGCCTCTAAACGAAAACAATGTTTTTATTTCTTTATTATGCAAGTAAAGTGCGCCAGAACACAGACGAACGAAGATATGGATAAAGATTTTACCTTCGCTTGTAATGGCGAACAGTGAGGACCACAAAGCCTTCAGGAATTCAGTAAGATCAGTTCTCTTCGACAAATCTTTTATTACTGACGTTATATCCAGCTCTTTTGCATTGCGCAATGTTTTCACCGTGGCCCTAAGACATAATAACTCCGTTTTTCTGGTATGCAATTATCTTTTTGAATAATAATGATGATAATAAAATAAGAACATCAACAAAGATTTGCCGTTCGCGTTTCACTTCAACGAGATGAGGAGCAATAATAACAAGTCCACCACCTTACTGATGCGCACGGTAAACTGCTCAAAACCTCAGGAGGTATGCAAACTCCTAACATAAAAAACTGTGAAAGAAAAGGATTGTTGAGCACTACTGCAGGTTGATAATAGACAAGCTAGAGCAAAGAAAAACTACCTGATCACCAACATAACACTCATTATTATATGCACTCGAACAAATTCGAATAATCAATAAATATGCAATATGAAAGAGATAATTGAATGTTGCGTGCTCAATCATCAACGGCGGGAACCAAGTTATGTGGCTTACCTGATGGAAAAGCTCTCAGGTCTTTGCTGCTGGCAGAGAACTACCAATGTTGAAAGTGAGCTTTCAAGAGAACCTTTCCGAAATTTCTGAAATGTAGCCGGCTATAATATAGCAGTAGACTGACTACCAACCTGTTTGGATGAATTAGAAAAGACATCTGAAAAGACTCGCAAAAAATAAAAACAAGTCGTATTAGGGCGACCAGCTAAACATTTCTGAAACATTAGTGCTCATTAGCCACAGGAAGCGTGTAAAAGCGTGTGCGTCAATGACTCTTCCTACCTTTAGCATCAACAAGCTAAAAAATCTAACGTTAACACAAATACATTGATCACTCCAGATAACTTGCAAGTTCAATAGGAAAAAAAA